AAAAAAAAAAAAAAAGAGAGAAGATATTCATATCTGAACTCTTAACTCCTAACATAGAGGCACGAGGCCAAGAGTTTCAGGGCATGGGAAATCCACCTATAAACAGTGCCAGCACAAAGTGGACAGATGTTTGTTAGGGGACACAAAGGGCCCGTTACCTTCCAGCATGCTGAGGTGCATGGCATCGTTGGCTCGCTTTGGCACACTGAGCATCACCTCGAGGCCATCTTTTATCTCCCCTTTTCCTTCCTCACAGCAAGTGAGTAGCTCCTGTAAGAGACCAATACCATGAACCAGCCAAAGACCAAAAGCTCTGCCAACAAGATCTTTGCAGAAAAGAAGTCTATGAAGAATCCGTGATTTTCAAGGTAACAACAGACTGCGGTCAACTGGGCACCTATTCTCATAGAAAATGAATTACTGCTTCTTTATCCAATGGATGGAAGCATTTGTCCTGCTCAAATCAGGATGCTTCTTCAGATCAGAGGAAACCAGACGCAGTCACAGTTTAGGATGGAATCAGTGCACACATTAACTGCCGAGCCTCAAAAATGACAAATAAAAAGACTTAATTAGCACAGCAAAGCATAATCAGCTACTGGTTTTATCTGAAGGTCATGACAGCGTGCAGCTAGCACCCCCATGTGATTGGGAACTCTTTGGTGCTGTTGGTGCCATGCCCCCACCTAACCTGAAACTCCCAGGTCATGAGCAGAAGCAGCACCGCTGCACCAGAATGTACAGTTAAATGCTGTGCCTTTGTGCGCAGGATGGTTCCCAAAGCGCGAATGATCTAATCACACCTCCCTGAGTGTGATTACATTTCGAATCTACTCGGAGGAACATCTGCTATTAAATGAAGGATAACGAGGACAATAAATGCACGTTCTGGCAGGGTCCAAGGTATTTTCTTACCAGTGTATGAATGGTTATATTCAGCCAGTAATAGTAACCACAGCCTTCTGTGTCCTGGCAGTCCCTAAGAGGGACAGGGCACTGCAGTCAGCTCTGGTCTCATACTGGATAGTTTTAGAGCAACTTGGCACCAGACAAGCACTTTCACTCATGACCAGATGGTTTTTACCTATTATTCTAAGCAGCTTAGCAAAAAAGTGCTTAAAAATGCTATGTACAAGAAATTAACCTCACTGGCAGAAAACCTTCCTCGCTGGGGATCTCAACAGAGCTTATTACTATTTTGCTGAAGAACCCCTGGGCAGAATAACGTGCGGTTTATAAATTAAAGCCCCACTTTAATGGTGATTAACTAGATCTGAGGTCACTGAGAAAGAGATCTTTAGTGGAAACACATGCTGAAGACAAAATTCTTAAATCTTGAGGACACCAAGAGGTACACTGCCTTTGCAGAAGTAAAAAGCAGAGGGCTAATGTGAACATAAACAACTTAACCTCCTGACTTCTATTTCATGTTCACCGTAAGCTCATATTCCTGCAGTGAGGGCCATAAAAGCACTTAATAGGATTTTGATACAAAAGTGCAGGAGAGCTTTCCCAACAGCAATGTTCCATAATGGTATCACTTTAACAAAAGCATATGGCCACTTCTGTTTCTAGAGTTTTCTCATTAACAGAAAGATAAAGAGTTTCAGGATTTCGTAACTCCATCTCTGAACTTCTTTTCTATCTGAAAATCACATCATTACCTCCTACTGCTGTGCTCAGGCAGCACTGGGGACAGGGTCAGATTCACAAAATACTGTTCCCAGGATGAGTGGGCAGTTGGTTCATTCTGATGCTTAATAACATCCTCCAGCCAAGGAAACAGCCAGGTAAACATCATTAGGTAGAGACTGTAGATTATTACTCTTGTAGTCAAGAAAATGTGCATTGATTTATATGATGCATTCTGTGACAACGATCACAAATTCTAAGTTTCCTTTACCATTCTACTGTTAAGTCCTTAGATTATTAGAAATGTGGGGTTTTTTTTGAGGTGTAACTGACACACACCATTATGTTAGTTTCAAGAGTATGACATAAGGATTAGCTATTCATATATATTGCAAAATGATCACAATAAGTCTAGTTAACACTTGCCAGCATAGGTATGACTTTAACTGTAACCACATTCATAACCAAGAGGAAGTGGAGGTCAGTTTGATTCAAATACGTGGGATGTTCCATAAATATGCGTGTGACCCATGACTAGATGTCACAGGGAGGGCGCTGCCTGAGGGTGAGTTACCTGAGCCCCCACCCCACCTGGGTTTGGAGCCCAGATACCAGGGCTCCAGTGATGATTGTGGGCACAACCCTTACCCTCCCAGGCTCACGTCCAGACCTGCAGACCAGCACTAGCAGGTGAACTTAACACACACAGAGTACAGAGTACAGTGCCCGGCCCGCGGTCAGCAAGCCGTCCTGAGATACAGGTACTAAGTGATCCAGGTCTGACAATCTCTCTTTCCTTTCTCAGTGTATGTTAGGGACCAGGGTCAGCCAGCAAAGTTCAGATGCATAATCAAGGGATAGTCTCTTATCTACCTGCTGCACTGAGAAACTGATCAGGGTAACAAATGGCAATGAATTAAAAAAAATTAACTGGCTAGGTGTTACTTCAAAAATTCAGGGTACTTTACATAAAGAGAGAGAAAAATGTCAAAATAATAATGCACAGTTCACAAATTTTGCAGGCAGAAGATGCTTGATACATACTTTTAAAAGAAGTTGATACTTTGTTATTCGCTGAACTGGCTTAATAAGGTAAGAAGAGATGGAATTGGCTAATCCATGCCGCTGCTGTATTTCCTGATTGAGAAAAAAATATATATATACTGATAAACATTACTGGGTAAAATTAGATAGCATGAACTAAAACTTTACATTTTTTACCTCCAAAATGAATACACACATATCACTCTTATTCTAAGAAATAAAAGTAGAAATCACTACTTATTCTTTTAATATGCTGAACACAAGAATAAGTTAATCACTTTGAACCAGAAGACAGCAGTGTTCAGTCTGGATTCCTGGCTTTCACGTGCAGACATCAAACGGGTGAAGCCCACGACTCCCCGCTACCAGGCCCGCACTGACCTGGCAACCCCCGCCCCCGCCTCCACCCCGGGGCCAGCCCTGGCGCCACTCAGCCACAGGACACTGAGCCATGGACTGGACGCGCCCTCTCTCCCATGGCAGCTCTGCAGCTTTGGCCACGGGCGCCCCGGAGCCACAGACCACATTCCTTCTGCTGAGCCTGACTCTCCCTAACAGGGGCTCCTCCTTCCTCATGAACACATTCACACGCCACTCAGGTATTCTTCCATCCGCTCTCACAATTCAACCATCTTCTAGCCCAGACTTTTCACACCAACCAACTGTACTTGTGCTATCTTGGCTCCTAACACTCTTCTCAGAAAATTTTAAAAAAACAGAGAAAAAAAGGGTTGGGGCGCCTGGGTGGCTCAGTCGTTGGGCGTCTGCCTTCAGCTCAGGTCATGATCCCGGGGTCCTGGGATCGAGTCCTGCATCAGACTCCTTGCTCAGCAGGGAGCCTGCTTCTCCCTCTGCCCCTCCCCACTGCTTATGCTCTCTCTCGAATAAATAAATGAAATCTTTAAAAAAAAAAAAAAGGGTTATCTTCTAATATACTATGCTTCAAATGTGATTTAAAAACCACCACATCTTTGTATTCTCAATATTCTCAATCTGTTTGCCATCTTCATTAAGCCCCTCAGGAACCAAGCATCGTGCGGGGATTCACGTGGCCGCTCTTTTGGCTGTAGGAATCACCAAACGACAGATCACTTACGCACCAAGAAGATTAGATTAAAGACTTAGCAATTCTTCCTCTGCCTTCCAGATCACAAATAGAGCCTTAAAGTTTCTCTTTAATGGCAACTGTTCAAAAGTGTGGGATTTATAATTTAATGATTATGATATACGTATTCATAATTTCACATCGAAAAGATTTCTTCTTTTCATGTACAGTATAATGCACAGATCTCAAGTACAGGTCACTGAGTTCTGACAAATGTCAACACACTTGCAACCAACTCCCAAACCAAGGTACAGAATATTTCCAACATCACAGAAAGTTCTTCGTACCCCTTTCTAACCAATTCCCCCAACCACAACCCCACCACCACCAAGAGGCAACCCCTGTTCTGATTTCTATCACCAGATAAGTTCTGCATATTCTAGAATTTTATATAAAAGGAATCTTTCAGATGTATTCTTTCATGTCTAGTTTCTCTCAGCCCATGTTTTGGAGATTAATCTCTGCTATTTATGTATCAAGAGTTTATCCCTTTGTACAGCTGAGAAGTATTCCGTTTCATGCATACCCCACAAAACATTTGAGAGATATTGTAATGTCTTTTGAATACCTTGTTTTAATAACATTCAGAAATGAATCTCTGATATTTCTAAACACCAATCTCACTATTTTTGTTGACATTTTTAATACCTTATGATAGGATTATACTATTCAAAAATGACAAGAGAGAAATGAATATCCAATGGAAAAACAGTCTCTTCAACAAATGCTGCTGGGAAAACTGGACAGCAACATGCAGAAGAATAAAACTGGACCACTTTCTTTCACCATACACAAAAGTAAACTCAAAATGGAATAAAGGCACAAATGTGACACCTGAAACCATAAAAATACCTGAAGGGAACACAGGCAGTAATTTCTCTGACATCAGCCATATCAACATTTTTCTAGATATGCCTCCTGAGGCAAGAGAAATAAACGCAAAAATAAACTACTGGGACAACATCAAAATGAAAAGCTTCTGCACAGCGAAGAAAACAATCAACAAAACTAAAAGGCAACCCACTGAATGAAAGAAGGTATTTGCGAATGACATATCTGATATAGGATTAGTATCCAAAATACAAAAAGAATGGCTACAACTCAACACACGCACACACAAATAATCCAATTAAAAATGGGCAGAAGATATGAACAGACGTTTCTCCAGACATACAGACACATGAAAAGATGTTCAACATCACTCATCATTAGAGAAATGCAAATCAAAACTATAATAAGATATCATCTCACACCTGTCAGAATGGCTAAAATAAAAAATACAAGAAGGTTTTGGCAAGGATGTAGAGAAAACAGAACCCTCTTGCACTGTTGGTGGGAATGCAAACTGGTACAGTCACTCTGGAAAACAGCATGGAGTTTCCTAAAAAAGTTAAAAATAGAGCTACTCTACAATCCAGGAATCACACTACTTGGGTATCTACCCAAAAGATACAAAGACACTAATTCAAAGGGATATATGCACCCCTATGTTTACAGCAGCATTATCTACAATAGCCAAATAATGAAAAGAGCCCAAGTGTGCAATGTCTGATGGATGAAGAAGATGTGGTACACACACACACACAGAGTAATATTACTCAGCCATCAGAAAGAATGAAGTCTTGCCATTTTCAACGACATAGATGGAGCTAGAGTATTACGCTAAGTGAAATAAGTCAGAGAAAGACAAATACCGTATGATTTCACTCAGATGTTGAATTTAAGAAATAAAACAGATGAACAAAGGGAAAAAAAAAAGAGAGAGAGAGACACACACAAACCAAGAAAGAGACTCTTAACTATAGAGAACACACTGATGGTTACCAGAGGGGAGGTGAGTGGGGTGATGGGGGAAACTGGGGATAGGGATTAAAGAGTATACTTACCATGATTTAAAAAAAAAAATGATTAAAGAAAATAAAGACAAAAATGGCGACAAGATCAGAGTATTTTTCCAAAACACCTGACAAAGGTTTAATCCTGCTGAAATAATAAAGCTTCCTTTTCCTAAAAAGCTCTTAAAAAAAATAAAACAAAACTTCTGTGCTTCTAAAACTTTACTTTGGATGGTAGGGGCAAAGAATTGGGGGTTAAGAGGATGATCTCGCTTACTGGTCAGTGGCATATCTAACACCACAAACACCCACTGAGTTCACTGAGCCCCAGACAGACATGCAATCGTGCTGACAATGGAGACTGAAGGCAAGACATCTGTGAGATCCCTAAATTAGGTAAGCATAATTTCCTTTATCTTTAAAGGTGTTTTAGGGCAAAGGGTTCTTTTTTAAATGGCTTTCATTCCAAAGCCATTTGATTGGATTCAACATACCACAAGCTCTCTGTGCTTAGACCTTACAGAATTCTAACTCTGCATACAGCCTTGGTGTTGAGTTTCATCTGATGGTAAAGAGCAAGGGAGGTGTGAAAAACTGACAGAAAAGGGCAACACTGGGCTGGGAGAGCTGACTTGATTATTTACAAAAGCAGTGATGTAGAATTACTGGTCATGAGAACGACAACTAAAATAGGACCATGTGCTTCATGGCAAAGACAGAAGCTAAAATGTATTCTCATTTCCCAGACATCCAGAGAAGAGTATCAGGCATGGCCATGCACAAGCATAAGGACAGAAACAAGTCTAATATTCTTGCAGCCTTGTACACCGTATTACACGTGACACTGAAAAGTACTCTTTTAATCATGATGTACTTGGCATGTTTGACTATATTCTGGAGACCCAAGAAGCTTTCTGTATATTATTTCCAAATGGCTCCGACCCCCTTTATACAAAATAACCTCCCTGCAATATCTTTCAAACAAAGAGGACCTACAAGTATGCTTTCACCAATGAGAATATAATTAATGAGCCTCCCAATGGTCCTAGCTGTTACAGTGCTATTTGTAAAAATTTTACTGATAAGCTACTTTTGGAATTAAGCACATGATAAAAATGGGAAAAATGAATGAATAAAAAAGATTCAAAGGTTCAAAGATTCTTTTTGTTTCATAGAGGGTAAAAGCAGCTTAATAGTTTACAGCTTCTGTACATGATATTATGTTTAAGAATTAACGATTACATATAAATAGTAAGTCATGTCACATACACATGTACCTGTTAAAATCTTAGAAGAATCTTTTAAAAACAGAGGAAAACAGAAGAATATCCCACCATAAATGTGACAGATAAAAACGAAAATACTCTACTCTACTCTAGGTAAAAGCTATGAGTAGTGTTGCATTTTATGTTTACCAAACACAATGTTTTCACCACTTCCACCAGGAATCTCTTACTTACATCAAAGTAGGATCCCGCATGTTCTAGTATCAGCTGAGTAGAATCAGGCTTATTTTTGCAATAGGTGACATACATCTGAAACTTGTCTGCCTATAAACAACAAAAAATGAGAATATCTCTTTCAAACGGCAAGAAGTCAAAATACGATAGACTTTTATGTAGAAAAGAAGCGATGGGGATAAAGGAAATTTAAGCTCTATGGAAAAGAAACACTATTTTATACAGAAAGCTGTTAAAAATAAGAAACGCATCCCACTGGTACCACACACCTCCAGAAGCCTCCCCTGGCCCAGTAAGTCAGGGCTAGGCACACCCTCCCTAGAGGGCAGGGCACTGACACCAGGTGACTGTCGGCTTCTCCTCCCTCAGCACCCCCCAGGCATGGCTGGGCACTCACGTTCACCTATGAATCCCCAGGGCCATGCACAGGCCGGGCACATTAAAGTTCCATTTCTAAACATCACTACTACCAATTAAAAGCTCATTCTACATTACTATCTAGTTGGAGAATGTAATTCTTAGAGGCAAAGTCCACTTCTCCATAAGCAGACATCACAGAAGATGGTGACATAAGAGAAATGAACCGTATTCCTTCTAACTTCCCGCAAAGCCACCAAACAACTGTGAGAACCAGTCGCTGAGGTGTCATTACCCAAGTAACAAAGCAATGTCCAACGTCCTCTGGCAACTGCTCATATTTTTCCAGCTCTTTAAGGAATATGCTGCAGAGAGTAAAAATGGTATCGTATTATTAAGAGGTTTTTTTTACCAGCACTTTACCAGTGAGATAAGCCAGAAATCAGACCAAGCATGCCAAACATACCATTTCAATCAAGTGCAGTGAAAAATCTGCACCCTCTAGATTTTAAAGATTTAACAAAACGTGTAGCTCTTAACTAGGCTAAGTTATTGTGACTTTCAGATAGCTAACATGTTTAGCCTTTAAATATTTTTTTATTTTTTCTGGGCGAGTGCTTTATTCAGTAGCTAAGGATGTTATTTAGGGATATAAATAAACAATTAGAAGAAGCCATTTAGGTTTAAGTGTGTTTTGCTGGGTGGGGGCAGGGGAGCGAGGGAGAGCCCGGCAGGTTTGGCCCCCAGCATTATCTTCCACAGGCTACTGGGCTCCACAGACTCTGTCTAAAGCAACTTCTGCTTCTTTAAACAACAACAACAACAAAACCTTAAAAATAAAACCATGTGCCTCTCGTGGCCAATGGACAGCACATTTTATTTTGGTCGACTACACATCTGTTCTGTCCTCAGTTCCTTCTTCCCTCTTGGAAAAGACCAAACATGGGCCAGCAGCCTCAGAGAACTCTCCTTTACCTCTAAGAAGTAATCGAGGTAGCAGCTGGTGGCACAGCTTCAGAGAAGTCAGGGTTCCTCCAAAAACAGTGCTCACACTTTCCCTAATCTTATTTCTATGGCAGGAAAGTACACAGAAAAAGCGGAGTCTCTATTAACAAAGAGTCTCTACAGTGTCGGTCTTTTCGACGAAAGCCCCACAGGTGTCATTCAAATTTCAACAGGATCACTGAAATGGATGCTTAATTCAGTTGGAAGCTTTCATTTCTTGTTATGAAACTTCAGCCCAGTATCTAGATTTCAAGAGTAACCAGCTCCCCAAAGATAAAGCCACTCACTTATTATGAAATTCATAGATTTCCTGCATGTTCCCGAAGATAACAAGCTCTCTGTTTACGATGCCGGCCGGGATCTCCTCCACCCCGCTGGTCATTTCCCATAGGTACGTCTGGCCGGGAGGCAAGCAGAGAGATTACAACACAAAAACCGACAGCACACGTCCAAGAAACAGCTATTGCTGACATCTTTAATACGTACCCAGAGTTCACAAATCACTGAAAAATACATCTGAAGAATGCAACCTTTTACAAAACAACATGAAAAACTTTTTCCCAAAAAAGCCCCCCAGCTGTTCTGAGCACTTGAGAGTAGCTCCTATACTCTCCAGCTCAAAACTTTCTATCCCCGGCTTCAAGTTTTGCAGTTAACCCACTCTCTGAGGTATGACAAATATTCTTTCAACTACTGAGAGTATGAGTTGCCAATCATAATTAGTAGGCATATTTCTCTGAAGCTGCTGTAAAATTCTTTTTCTTTTAAAGATTTTATTTATTTGACAGAGAGAGAGAGAGACATAGCAAGAGAGGAAACAAAAGCAGGGGGAGTGGGAGAGGGAGAAGCAGGCCTCCCGCGGAGCAGGAGCCCGATGCGGGGCTCGATCCCAGGACCCTGGGATCATGACCTGAACCGAAGGCAGACGCTTAACGACTGAGCCACCCAGGCGCCCCGAAGCTGCTGTAAAATTCTATACAAAGAGAATGTCAGCCAGGCCGTCATGTGATGAACGGAATGAGAGAATTAATGCTGTATCATCTCTGTGATGAGCAAAACACAAGCCTGGAACCTCACAGAAGGACAGAAACAAGAAAAACAGGCTGCTTAAGCACACTTCAAATCTCAAAAACAACAAAAAGTGTGATTATTTTAAGAATTACCAACAGGTAGGGATAAGTAGCACGCTTAGACTGAATCTAAATAAACAAGCAAAAAAACTTACTTACATCCATACACTCGCGGAGGTCTCTTACGTAAGCCTTTTCAGTTTGAATTAGCTCAGCCATGATGAACCTTCAACAGAGGAAGACAGCGAGGAGCTCAGCTTACAAGCAGGACACATGCTGATTTTAACTACCTACTTTGACGGTTTATAAAATAATAAGGTGGTTTTAAAAGCATTAGGCAGTAAGGTGTTCTGGGGAATTAAATCAAGAACAGAACAATAATAGTATGCAGCCATGGATTCAAAGGAAAAACCATTTTGGAAAACATTCTGTTGAGGTCCCTGCAGGTCAGGGCTTCTCACTCAGCACCACTGACATCTGGGGGCAGATAAGGTTTTGCTGGGGGGCTGTCCCATGTAGTAGAGGACATCAGCAGCATCCCTGGTCTCCATGCACTAGATGCCGTAGCACACCCCCTCCCCACGGTGTGACGACCAAAGATGTCTCCACACATGGCAGAATGACCCCCAGCTGAGAACCCCAGGTTTAGGACAATCTTGTCTTCATGAATGTCTAGTACAGTTTACTAATTGGCAATTTTGAAACAGCTCCATGTGTGTTATTTTTCTCGTTAGTACTACTACTTACTCATGACCTATTGATAACCAATGACACTACAACAATTTGTCAACCCTGTAGGAAATGGAAGCACAGGGACGAACACAAGACATGGTTTCTGAAGCAGGTGACAAGGGGACAGTGGAGTTTGTGCTGCAAAAACGACACACATTCAGAGCATCACAACGGATTAGTGCCATTGGTTTCAAAGCACACACAGAAGCATGCTTGTCCAAGTGACGTTTTCTCCACTTGTTCAACGAATCCCAGCAGGTTCTTAGAGACTGGCTTACTCTTTTCTGCGGGCCGACTTCCGTTTCTCTTCGTTAAGTTCATGAGCAGCATCACGAAGCTTCACCTCCGACCCAGGGACACTGGCGGGGATTATGTCTAGCTGAAGACTTTTGCTCTGTGGAGGAAGACAGCCAAGGAACTTGAGTTAATTAAATCGGGGGAGGACACGAGGAAGAACACCATTATTTTATTCTGTGTGCACAAAGCACTTTACCGATTTGTTGGAATCTGAAGAAATCCCCAGGGCTTTCTCCAAAGAGGTCCTGTACTTCTCCATCCGCAGAGAGAAATCTCTGTACCTCTTATCCACTGCAGTCACACATTTTTTTATCTCTGCTGCATGGGCATGCCCTTTTTCACAAAAGCCATCAGCCAGCTGGATCAATAGCTTCACTCTCTCTTTGGTTTGCTGCAAAAAAACAACAGGAAAGTATTGTGAGGCAAATGAACTCCAACTGCCAGAAACCAGAAACACAGTGGCAACTTGCCTACCACTCTGAGCTCTCAACAGGGAAAAACTGCTGGGGACAGAAACTTCCACCAAAGCTCCAAGTCCACCAGTTCATCTCCCTGATCCTGGCTGAGCTACCGTTCCTCAGCTTTCCACAAAGAATGGCAGGTTTATGACCTCGAAAACAACCAGACAAAAATCTAGACTTTCTTTCTGCAATGTCTTCATCGGGTAGATGCTCAGGAGATAGCTGTAGAAGGAAGAGAGGAATGCTCACTCAGGCTGTTCTCTCTAGGGCCCTGAGATTCTCCACCACCGCATGCTGCACCAGCTGACTGCAGAGACACCTCCCTGCTCCCCGCAGGTTTACTCCCCGCGCCCATTTATGGCAGTAGTCCTCAGAGATGCTGGCTTTCCTGCCACGTGGCAAAGGATCTCCCCACGGCAGACACTCAACAAAATCCTTGAAGCAACTCCACGTGGCACGTTCATTTCTTCTCCAACTCTCAGTAGAAATGGAGGAAAAAATCACTAGTCAGGAAATTATCTTTGTAGAGGCATTTTAAATGCTCTTCCCTGTTTTAGAACTCCCTCTCAAAAAAATGATATCGTTTGTATACGTACTTAGAGAAGATATCTTAATTAAACATAACTTTCTTTTTTTTTTTTAAAGATTTTATTTATTTATTCATGAGAGACAGAGAGAGAGACAGAGGCAGAGGGAGAAGCAGGCTCCCCGCGGAGCAGGGAGCCCGATGCGGGACTCGATCCCAGGACCCTGGGATCATGACCTGAGCCGAAGGCAGACGCTTAAACGACTGAGCCACCCAGGCGTCCCTAAACATAACTTTCTTAACGTTTCTTAAAGTTAAGCATAAGCCTAAAAGGCAGTGACTTCACTCAACTCTTGATTTCTCACCACATCCTTCCCGTGTGTTCCGACGAGGCTTCCTTCAACATTCCCACTGGCACTTCCAGTGAGTACAGTTACTCCTCTCGCAGGGAACCTGGTTTTCTCCACCGACCTTTATCTAGAAAATCTCTATGCCTAACATGCAGGAAGCTGACTTTAAAAATCCCCAACAGGTGTACGTGAGAGCAGAGGTCTCAAAAAAGAAAAAAAAAAATCCCCAAAATGATAAAGGTCAGAGCTCAAAACCTGGATAAATTATCTTAGTTTATACAGTAAATTTGAGGCAGAATTCATTAGGCAACCTATAAAGCCCGCTGTAAAAATCCTTGGGCTCTGCACAAACACCTAGCTGCAGCCGAGTGCCCAACTGGCCCCAGCGTCCAACATGCGGGCCCCACGCGTACTCCCTGTCCCTGGTTCTTTGCCCCAGCGCCCCTCCTGCCCGGAATGCTCTTCCCCGAGATGTCTCTGTGGCTCCTTTATGTCTCTGCTCGACTAAAGGCCACCTTCTCAGCAGGCCCTCCCTGACTCCCTTAAAATTGCAACTCCCCCTTCCTGCCCCAGCTATCCTTACTTACCCTATTGGCTCTACTCTTCCCATGGCATGGATCACCTTCCAACAAGGATGAGGTTCACTTAATACCATTACTGCCTGCCTGTCTCTTGTTAGAATGTAACCTCCACAGGCCAGGGATGTCTGTTTTGTTTCCTAATATCTCACTCACTTCCATGTGCCTGGCACCTAATGGACATTTACCAAATATTTCCTGAGAAAATAAATTAACATTAGGTTCTTTGTGCAAGTATGTATATGCCTATAACTTTAATGAGCATGGTAGTTACTCTTAACAGGCATTAATACTTTTCAAAAAACAAGTGAAAACAGCACTCAGATACAATCATGTCTCTGTGAAAAAAATTAACTATTCCAGATTCTATTCAAGCTGTTTACTGGAAAAAGTCAGCAAAACTTAAACCACCCTGAAGTTTATTGGACTTTCACCTGGTATGGAAATGAACTCAAGTAGAGTGAGCTAAAAGGAAAAGATCTGTCAACCAATTTTTTTTTTTTTTTTTTTTTTTTAAGAGAAGAAGAGGTAGAAGGGAGGTACAGAAGAAGAGGGAGAGAGAGAATCTTAGGCAGACTCCTCGCCCAGCACAGAGCCCAATGCAGGGCTTGATCTCAGGACACTGAGATCATGACCTGAGCCAAAATCAAGAGTTGGATGCTTAACCGACTTGAGCCACCCAGAAGCCCCTCAACCAAATCTTTTCACGTGTATCAACATGACACCTTTCTGGATATGTTAAGACAAGACTAATTATAAACCAAATAAAGAAGTCAAAGTTTCAGACTGGGAAGCATAAATTCCAAGAGGGACTTAACTTAGAACCATTATTAAATTTTAATATCAAAGAGAATTAATAAGAGTACGGCAGGATTGTTAACAAACTGTGTTGTCTAGATAAGGCTACACTGCTGTGTGCCCAAATATTAATGTGCTGAGAAGCACAAAGAAGGTTCTGTTGTGACACCCTAGGAGCGCTTCTCATCCCCTGCGCCACCCAGGAAGGATACTCTGAGTTATGTGTATCGTTAAGGAGGCAAGAAAACTGTTTCATGTTGTAAGCACTGGGGTCATAGAGGTGAAGATAAAAAAGACAATTCAAAGAGAAAACAAAAACACTAAGAATGGATAGGAGGATGTCTGCATAATACACATCACAAAACAGACCAGCTGCAGGCATGTAACACCAACAGGGTGATACTGAATAGGACACTAAATGTAGCAGAAGATGGCCTAGAGGCAGAGCCCTGTGGCTTGCAACTTTATGTAAACAAGAGACGCCAATCTGAGAGTCAAGGCTTCTCCAAGAGGTGTGGCCAAGCCTCTCCCTCAACCCCGATGGCTTTCCCTTATTAGTTCGCATGCACAGGTATATATATTTACCCATTCATCTTGTTATTGCCTGTTTCTCTAGCTGGAAACTGCAGTCCATGAGCCCAGCACCCAGAGCAGTTCCTGGTATGTGGCCAGGGCTCCATGAATAATGACTGAATAAATGAATGATGGGATAAAAATTAAGTATGATGAATCTGCTCATTCACGAACCTTTTATATCTCGATATGTATTTTTATTTTAATGGGTATTTTTCAAATGTATGCATAGAATTCAAAATTCAAAAGGTAAGAAAGGATAGAAGAGACGTTTTAGTACAGAGGTGGGTACGTGTGTATTTTTTCCTGTTTTGTACCTAAACGCTTGCACACAATAAACCCTGCTCTACACCTAGTACTTTTCATTTAACAACTCAGTTATCCTTCACCATTGGAACACAAGCAGCAACCCTATTTTATGTTGAGAGCTGCATAATGTTTCTATAAGTGAATGCGCTTCCACTGATGAACCTTCATGTTGCTCCTGCGCTTTCCCCACGACCGGCACAAAGCAGGCAAAAACGCCCATCTGGGCACGTGCAGAGTCCGCATTTCGCGATGTGGGCCTATGGGGGAGGGGGGACGGTAAGTGCGTCTGTGATGGGCGGTAATCAGCGACGCCTGCAGAGGTCACCTCCGTTCCCCATCTCCTAAGACGCAGCTGCAAGCTTTTTGATCTTTGCCAATCTCTTGGTTTGTGAAAACAGAACACACTGCAGTTCTGATGTATAATTTTATTTTAGGTAAATTTGGTAATTTCATATATTTAAAGGCCATTTGTAATTCCTTTCCTGTGAGCCCTCTTTAATATCTTTTGTCCACTTTGTTTTGTCTTATTGATTTATAAAAGCTCTTTGCGACTGAGAAATCAGCCCTTTGTGATATGAACTGCGTATTTATCTTCTCTGCTTTTTGTCTTTTAGTTACAGTGGACTGCCCTTTAGAAATTTTCACATTTTTTTGTGTATGTCATTTTTATCATTCTTTTATGCGCTTTGGTTTTGTGTCCTGTTATTTCTTCTAGTCGGTCAGGTTTTCATTGCTGAACTTGAGCCTTTTTTCTGACAGTTACCTTGGTATCAAGGTGGGATACGAACACAACTCAATTTTTCTCCAGAAGGCTACTCAACACTACGGAGAAAACTTTCTACATCTTTTAAAATGAAGTATTATACAGGTTTCCATCATCATCATTATTATTCCTAGAGACTGTTACATAAGTAGATTTTTATTTTAAAAGAATACAACTGTTATAACTTGAACAACGTCATCAGTCAGTACAATCAGGGGCTTGTAGAAAAATAAGAGCAAACTGAATTTCTGAGTCCACATGCTCAAAGGATCTTTACTCACCATGTTCTTAAGTAAATGGAAACCCAGGAAGGATGCACATTCAATGGTCTTAGACCATTTCTGTCAGATTAAGGCATTTGGCACTGGGGACACGGGTGATCAGGAGGTGTGCGGGAAGGGGAAGGCAGAGTTCTGCAGTCTCAGGCAGTGGATTTCTGACTCCAGTGTGCTTACATAAAAATCACCTGGGACATTGTTTAAATTTGTTCATCTTTAGGTCTCTCTCCTAAATAGTTTAAGTCACTAAGTCTCGAATAAGGACAGAAACTGGCTTTTAAGTAAACACTCATGACCTGGATGGAGGCAATGCCTGCAAAGCACTTTGAGAAATTATTACATTAAGAGTTGCAAAGGAATGCAGTTGAGTCGTAGGTCAGATAGTAACCAAAAGGCTTTATTTCTCTTACACTAAATATGTTACAGTAGTAACCGCTGTAACAACTGAACTGGAAGACTGTTATGTCAAAGCAAAAGATTCTCTACGTAACAAAAGAAAAATGGTTCTTAGAGGAAACTGTGATGGGGGACAGAAGGCAAGCAACATCTCCAAACACTAGAGCAGTTGCTATCGGATTAAAACAAAGGCAGCCGGAAACCAAAGGGAAAAAACGCTAAGAGAGAAAGTGAGAGGTGTTCTTTTCAAAATCTACCAGTTCCTCTTGGCAAAACTGACTCAGTGTATTCAGTGAAAGAAAGAGCTCTGTAGATCTGGGAAACAGCAAGGTCAGATATTACCTGTGATTTCATTTGCTTATTTTTACAAAACGCAAGGGCAAAAATATGCCCATTCCTGCTCATTCTTTAATAACCACACCCCAAATTTGAGAAGGAAAATTCAGGAATAAAAAATCCTTTTGTATACACCCCACTGGTGGAACACAACTGTCACGCTAGTGCACTGTAGATGGTGACATGCACATCACATTCTGTGTGCATGGCGCCCCCTGGGGTTGTGCAGTGACCGGGCTGTTTGGCTGTGCATACTGACCTGCGGAGGGCAGCATTAATGGAGATGTAAGTTCGAGAAAAGGAACAAATCTTAAATCTACCTCTGAGTGGTATCTTAGGCATTTTCTTAATACCTCCAGAATCAAAGGCTATTCAAAGAAACAAAGATCATATAATGCACACAACTGTAATTTACTATCCAACTATTAACAAAAAACAAGAATTATGTAGCCAAAGGGGTGCTGTATCTAGGAAGCAAAAGACACGCTGCTTACCTGCAGAGGCAGGCAGGTCAGCTCTCCTCAGATGAGTGGGCGGGTGCCCTCCTGTGGATGCTCATGGACCCTCTGGGTGCGGCTGTCATCGCCTGACTGTCTGACACCCCCCGCCCCCCAATGCTCACGGTGCCCCTGCCAGGGCCAGCTCGCGCCGAACCCTACAGGGGTCAGTCTGTCGGCAGCCACACTGGACTGTGTGCTCTTCCAGAGCAAAGACCAGGGGTTTCCAGAGCCCAGCACCCCGAGGGTGAGGGGAAGGAAAGAAGCTACATCTTGCGGGCGGGCAGGAGTAGAGGGCAGTGCAGAATAGCAGGAGGGGTCAGAAACAGTTACAGAAAACATAAAGTACAAATAAACATAATACAAAGTAGCTGTTGCCACTCTAGAGGATTTAAAAATTTCCCATTGACGGTTTTCAAAGCCACCTTAAGGGCCACACAAGGAAATCAATTTTTTTTTTACTTTGTGGGAATACTTCTTTTTAACGAAAAATACTATCCAGCTCGACCATTTATTTCTACTAGTAAATTTGAATTTCCAGTTTAAAAAAAAAAACCTCAAATCTATCACCCAAAACATAGGCACGTCTGAAAATAAAAGTTTGAAAAACTAAAACAAAAATAGCACAGCTTGAGAAGGGAACTCTAAAAATCTCAAAATTGTTTTGAGGTAAAAGAATGAGCCTCTGTGGGTATACACTTTAACTGGGAAAACATTCGTGGCAATGTGTGGAGTCTTACAGATTTGCTTAAAAATTCATATTTATGCCCATATATTACATACGCCACGTCTTTAATTCTACTTCGCTTTTCAGGAGGAAAGTGAAGATGTCTCCACCTGCATAAGCCTATGAAGAGCCGGCAGGAGAGCGCGCAGAGGTGAACTCTGCCCCCCGCAGCCCAGACAGGTTCCCGACTGGATGGGGCGCGTGTGGGCAGGGCTACGGTAGCAAGCGTCACCCACCAGAGACCAGGCAAGGAAGCGTCCTCAGAACACACCCAAGCCAAGTCGGTAACACCAGTGTTTCCTAAAAATAGCAAGTACTCAGAAAAGACTTGGGGGAATAAAAAAACAAAGAAAAAGAATAATGAAAAGGACAAAAGAGAAAACATAAAGGTATCTGCCAAAATCAGAGGACCCAAAGGAAACACCACATAAAGGGAGGGACAGCTGAGGGGAAGCGTGAAAGGCAGAAAGAAGTGTCACCTACGTTAACATACAACGAGCCACTGGGGTCCCTCTGTTTCTCCAATTTTGGATAAGGTGTTTAAGTGATTTTTTTTTTTTGAGAACTATCTTATGTACATGAAGTATCCTGTTCTAGGTTATTCTGGAAAACCCTGCCGGGTGTATAGGCGACCAACCTGAACCTACCTTTGCGGTGATCTGAAACTCCTCGTGCTCTTTCAGTAGCTCTTGGGTGTGCTGTATGCTTGAGCCCGTGGAGGTATGTGTGGAAAGGTAGAACTCCCCGTTGTCATGGATCCATTCTAGAGCCTGGGGAGGGAAGGAATGGAGACGCTCATGCCTGAGTCCTGGTAAAGGAGGCCCACTCCCTGCGTCGCCCACGCAGATGTGCAGTCACAAGCCCAGGCTGGTACACATCTACAAGTACCTCTTCAGGGACAGATGAGCTTCTGAAACAAGTATCATAATTCCAAAAGGAAAAGGAAAAACCTGACATTCTTGAAAGCTGTAACCACCTCACTTATATCGCAATGATTAAACAGTTCCTATAGCGGTGAAATGCACTCGCAGTAGAAGAAACTACAACTAAGACCCTTTCAACAAGGATACTGAGAAGATGTGGATGAAGGGATGATTTGAGACCCTCACACTGCTAAATGTTTAGGCCTTTCTTCCTTTTCCTGCCTTCAGTGAGTACCAGGTGGGATCCACCACACTTGCTCTTTGGGGGGTCCTATCCCATGATGCACAAACGTGCCACTGGGGAGCTGCTAGGAGAAGACATGCCTTAAGCCCTGTGGCTGCAGGAGAGAGGTGAGCGCACCTGAGGAGAAGGGAAGGGGGCCAGCGAGGGTCAGACTGCAATGACCCAGTTCTAACGTGTGTGCTATCTCATGCCCTTAGATAAAAGTTGTTTCACTACTTCTATTTCCATATAACTGAAGTGAAATCAGACTTACATATGCATCTAAAAACACAACACCCGGACAGCTGACTGCACGGGAATTACGGCTGTTATGCCTGAGCATGGCTATCCCGCCCCTGGAACAATGTTAACACTGCTGCTGAATCAAGGTTGAAAGCAATGTTTGTCAATTCACTCCAAAGGTCCCAGGTTTTTCCACATTTACAGCACGCTGTCTCTTGAAGGCCTACTGTGGAGTCAGGTGCTACCTGGGGGCACTTGAGAATGAGCGAAACTTCGGCCCTGCCCCTGTAGAGTGGGCAGGAGGAGGGAGATGGACAAAGATGCACAAAGACAAATGAGAGCAGGGATACCATGCTTAGAACGGGAGGTCAGCAGAAGTGGTGTCTAAACTAGGACAGGCTGTCTGGGAAGCAACAGGCTCAGAAGAATGGGGAGAAGCTCAGTAGGTAGAGGGGCATGCACCATGGCCCCAAGCTGGTGAGCTGGCCCGCTATGGAGGCTGAAGGTGAGGCTGGAGAGAAGATGGGGAGGGCAGGAGGGCCCAGGAGCTCACAGGCCCAGTTTGGACTTTTCTGTGAAAACTAATGGGCTGCCGTGTAGAAAAGGAATTTCAGTACACAGTGAATGGAAGAAGTAACACTGGTCAGCAAACTGGCTCAAAGATTTAGGCAGGACACAGCTGGGGTTTCTATAGCATGATGGCTCTGACTGTGAAGGGGGAGGGCAGATCTGACCCGTGTGGGGGGTCTACACCTATGGGACTCACGAGGGAATGAAGGTGGGAAACTGGGGAAAGAAAGGAAGCAGGAGGTATACACCCTGTAAGGTGAGAGGGTGTGGGGGACACACCCTGTAAGAGAAGGGGGTCCTGGGGGATACACCCTGTAAGAGAAGGGGGCCTGGGGGACACCCACATAGGACAACAGAGCCTGGGGAACACACCCCATAAGATGAGGGGGCCTGGGGGTCACCCACATAAGATGAGGAGGGGGGACAGGGCTTCACGAGTCCAGTTCTGCTCTCAGTGAGGCCAAAGTAGAGACACCAAGGAGGCAGCTGGGATTTCTGAGTCTGCAGACCCGAAGTAGAGGTCAGGGCTACCTTCATGACAAGGTACCAGCAGAGGAGGTAAGAAGATAGGAAAGAAACTAGAGCTAGCCCCAGACTAAGCCTGAGAGGATGCCAGCGTTCAGCAGTGGAGAGCCTGGGAAGAGTGCCAAGGAGGCCGGAGGCGCCCAGGAAGCCCGAGGGCCAGGACTCGCCCACAGAGCCGGGTGCAAATCACTGCTCCGTGTTCCAGCCAGTTAAGCTCAGGGTGCCGTCCTGAGGCCCGTGCATCAGGAGGAGCCTCCAGGACTGGGGTTACAAACAAGCAACTTCACTACGGGACCGTGAGCACAGCATAGAACCCAATGGGCTGCAATGGCCTACACTTCCTGATTTCATTTTTGGCACATGAGCTGACTTTAGGAAAAAGCAACAACACATTCCATTGTTTTTCTCCATTAAAATGATTATTTACAATTGTGTTCTCTGTAGCTGAATGACTGCTTGTCTTTCAACAGAGAAACAATAAAGACATATGAGAAGAGATTATGAGACAATCTCTAATTAGAAACAAAATCAGGCCCCATGAGTCTGAAATATGGTTGAACTATCATTAAATAAAATGTAATTTAAACACTAAAAACACTGCTTACCACTTCTGTTGGGAATATAACTACCTCTGGTAACATCAGCCAAGATGAGGGAAGGGTTGAGTATGGGTGCCAGATCTATGGACCAGGAACTCCAGCTTACAAACCTCGAGGGAACCGAGCCATTCTGAGCACCTCGCTGCCCACTCGAAACCAACATTGACCAAATCAAAAGAAAATATTCTCCCTAAGTGGGAAACTGTGCTGAGGAAGATTTAATCTTTAAGCTAAAAGATTTAACTGAATGCCTACTCTGTGGCAGGCACAGGTGAAGTCAGAAGACCGTCCAAGTGTGATGTGGTCACCAGCGACCCACAGCACCAAAGGGACTCTAAGCCCCCTGACATGCAGGACACGAGCTGGCTCACACAGGCGTTCTGAGAATGAGCCTTCTGTCCTCCGTGCCCTCCAGACTCTCCACATTCTGGACCAACAGCTTACAGATTCCTATGCTACCGTTAAAGCCAAACAGAAGTGACAGGAATCTTAGTTCAAGTTAGGGGTCAGACAGACTTTACGCTACAACGATCTTCCACGACTAACCATACCGGCGGAAGCACTTATCCCATAATGACTTCAGAAGATGGAAACTCTAAACATACCTTTTTATTTATTTTTTTATGTAGGCTCCACGCCCAACATGGGGCTTGAACTCATGACCCTGAGATCAGGAGTCCCATGCTCTACTAAGTGAGCCAGCCTGATGCCCCCTAAACATATCCTCTTGATGTCTCTGCATTAGTCAACTGCATTAACACTTTTTTACTCTACTGAATTCTTAGAAATTCTATCACACTTCTTACCTAATTTTAGCTCAAGTTATCTGAAGAACAAAATTTTACCTTGAAAATATAATTATAGCAAAATAAAAAAAACCAAAACACCCCCCCACTTGTATTTATACAAGTACAGAACCTAGATTCCACAATGATTTTTGAATCATTGTCATAAGTAGGACTTGTCCCTGGTGGTCCTAAATATGAGCCAACGGCAGCAGAGGCGGGCTGTGTGACACACTTGCTGAGGGCCCAAACCCACTTCTACGGGGTGTGGGTTTTCTTTTCATGACAAGTTTATTTAAAAGGCATGACTCTCCTGATCATTTGAAAGTGGTTTTCAAAGTGGCTGACAGGTCAAGAGCTTCCTAGCGGAGGGTGGAAGTCTAAATAGAGGGTGGAGAGCATGGGGGAGCCCGGTGTAATGACTGACCTGCTTGGCACTTCGTTCAAAGACCACATACTGCTGGCATTGGTCTAGCCGTCTCTTTCTCATGGTCCAGTAATGCAATACCCTGTTCTCCCGCTGGAAGAGTTCATTCAAGATATCTAAGAGAATAAAGACAAAGACATATGTCGGGGCTTGCAACCAGTGAAAACACTTGCAAAATCCCATTCAACGTTCTTTAAAGACTTAATGCAAATGTCAATGCAAGACAGTATTAAATTACAAGCCACACGGCTTGCTCGCCCAATGTTCTCAGTGAGCGTGTCCACCAGACCTCAGACCTCTCCTTCTGCTCTTACCCCAATTTGTTGTCTTATGATTGAGGTCACTGGAAACTGAAGACTGGCCTCCAATATCTTTGGTTAGCTGGATGAGTGGGATAAGCTATTGCATCCCCTGCTGGGGCAATCTGACAATGGCTGGAAAAACTTCAGTATTAAATAATTTGTTCAACAACATTAAAACCTTCCTGTAGAAAGAATTTAGTATAAAGGATCTATGTCATAATGGTGGAGTACTAGAAGAAAACACAGTTTTGTTTTTTCTTTCTTCTTCCTTTTTTTTTTTTTTTTTTTTTTACAAAGACAAAAACATAAGCCATTAGGAGAAGCAGGGACATGAAGTAGAGAAGCATGGAGCCAGAAAGGCCAAAAACCCTGATTACATAACACTGTAAATGTCATAACCAAACAAAATCCACCATAACAGTACAGCACCAATAAAAAGCTAGTTAAAATTATTGGGAAAATACAAGACACGGACCAAATGTACTTGCTTGTCAACAGGGAAAGATGAACGGTCCATTAGAAAAATGAGCAAAGCATATAAAGATTTTATTTATTTGAGAGAGAGAGAGAGAGAGAGAGAGAGAGAGCGCTGGGGGGAGGGGCAGAGGGAGAAGCAGACTCCCTGCTGAGCAGGGAGCCCGATGTGGGGCTTGATCCCAGGACCCTGAGATCATGACCTGAGCTGAAGGCAGACGCTTAACTGACTGAGCCACCCCAGTGTCCTGAGCAAAGCATATAAACATGAAGTTCATAATTTCTAAAATATGGCCACTAAATACAGAGAAACATGTTTAACCTCACTCAGACAATGAGACCATCTTGCACCCTTTTCCTGGCAAGCCCTGGTGCTGTTCAGTGCTGGCAGGATTGGGGGAGAGGAACATGCAGGGGTGACCCCGTATTACTGAGGGGAGACAGCACCACTCTTGCAGCGGGCGCTCTGGCGACAGGTGGCGACAGGTGACGTCATCGCAAATGTGCATACCTTTGAACCAGCAATTCATCTTTCAGATGTACGGTGCTTACACAAGCCACATGTACTCAGGTGCACAAACACTAAGGCACTGTTTGGAAAAACTAGCAGTGACATCTGAGCCCAACTGGGAGACAGGTTAAGTCAACTACGAAATCATTATCCTGGACATTAAAAATGATAGAGCAGATCTTTAAATTGTGATATAGAAAAAGGACTAAGATATACTATTATTATTATTATTATTATTATTATTATTATTTTGAGTAGGCTCGACACCCAGGCCTGCAGCCCAACCTGGGGCTTGAACTCACGACCCTGAGATCAAGACCTGAGCTGAGATCAAGAGTCAGATGCTTAACTGACTGAGCCATCCAGGTGCCCCAAAAGAGGACTAAGATGCATTATTAAGTGAAAGAAGAAAATTGCAGCAAAAAACAGTCCCATTTTGGTAAAAAATAAAAATGCGGGACGGTGAGAGGAGTGGAATCCACGTGTGTTTTTCTCTATATATTTATGTTCATATTCATAGACATACCCACAAAAAAGTCTTAATGGTGGTGACCACTGGCAAACGAAATAGGAAATTTATATACATTTGTACACTTAATTTTTTTTTACAGTAAGTCTGTTTTACTCGAAGTTTATAAAATATACAAGAAACTTTGGAAGAAGATTCTTGAGACAAACTGCAAATCAAATAAATGGTATCTAGATTATAGCTTCATTAATATTGGGAAACCTTAAAAATATTAAATTATCCACAAATATTTCCCAAGGTCCGGGTGGGCTGAGAAACATGAACCTGTGAGCAGGATTTATGTGGCAGTTCAGTGGTCATGCTCCATTATCTTTACTGAAAAAGTAAACTAATTAGTGACACAAATTAAGACTTTGAAATTTGAAGCCAGTCAAAAAATTAAATGAAAGTATCACATGTGAAAATTAACATGAGCCAACGGGTCTTTTCCAGGCTCTTTTTCTACAGTCCCTGCCTGGGGCCCGACTGACTTGGGGCAAGTAAGCGGCGAAGCAGAGCGTTGACCGCCCCCGCCCAGACTGGGACGGGAAACCAGCTGGGGCTTCCTCATGTACCTGAAGGACTGTCTGGGGTCCTGGGATGCTGTCTCTTCTGGCACCCTCACCCTTACGTGGATTTGCCGCACTGTCCCACACATAAATCTTTCGTCCCCAAGTACCCAATGAGAGAAACAGGACATTCTGTTTTTAACTGTCCGCAGCACCCAGAATGATGAGACACGGCAGCAAGGGCGCCGTGACTACCTAGTGCGTGTGCATGTACAGCTCCTCTCACGCACACACACACGTGGTACAACCCAGGAAGGATCATAACATCTTTGATCAGAGAAAGCAGAGTACGACCAACAACCAAAGGCAATACTGAAGGATGAGAGAAAGGCAATGATTTTTACATGAAATGAGCCAAATAAACCGATGACCAATGCAAGGAACTTGCTGGCAATGAAGACTTGCTCCTGCTGAGAAATGGCTGTGTTAGTCACTCATTTCCCCAAGAGGGCAGTCCACCAAGTAACAAATACGAAATCTCCTCTGCGGAGCGTAGAGGACTCTACCAGTGCGACAAATCATTTTTCTGTGACACCTCTGACAGATGAATCCAGATGAACAGGGAGTATAATATACAACGTTTCTGCCGATCATATGGGTTTAAACAGTGAGACGAATCATTTGTTAATGGATTATGGCAACTTTTCCCCTATGAGACCCAACTCTGAGAGCGCAGGCTGTGTGGGGCCCCAGGTTCCTCATCTGTTTACTGCCGGCCCCTGAAGCTCATGGTGAGGATAGCAGGTGCTTCAATGTCAAGACTATTTCAAACTCTTAATCATTTTCTGAGATTATTTCCATTGTAAAGTATTCAATCAGAATTCTAGAGTAAAAACCATCAGTCCTCCTCACTTCTATCCATACCAATCCTATTAACAGTTTAGTATCAAATTTTCCCAGACGAGTTTCCATGCACTTAACATTATATATATGCATACATAAAAACCCATGGCTTTACAGATTTTTACTCTCAAATGATACCAGAATGTATGATATTTGGCAATTTGATTTTATTAATGCTTTAGTATACAAATCTATAATACCTTCCAGCAATGATTTTGGTGTATAATTTCTTAATTTGAACTTTTAAAAATATTTTGACTCTAGATAAATTCTGGTTTTCCTTTTCCCCCAATTTACAGTATTTTCACTTGCTTGAACAAAATAGTCCATACTAATAAATATCATGCTGCATTTTCTCCCTGCTTATACTCTTCAACTTTAGTCAACAAAGTATCAATCTGCATCATTTGCTTCATATTTTATTATTAAACAAAGATAACTGGCAAGAACTTTAATAATATGAAATGTATATTTAAAATGAAGCCTTGGGTCTCAGGATTTTAGAACACATCCTGCCCAACTCCTTGTACTGCTTGCCAGTAAAATGACTCGTAGCTGTACTCACTTTTCACTTGTTGTTCAGGGGCTTTGATATGGGTCACCATTCCAGGCATGTTCACACTGTTCCTATGCAGGTACTTCAGGAAGACATCTGCATTCCTTCTAGCAAGTGTGCAAGCCTAAGAGAATCATGGAGGGCAAGGTGTTGTTAATGGGACTTCGACAAACATGTATTTTGAGTATGTATGGATGACAACATCATATAGCTCTAACACACATCTTTAAAACATTCGTCGGGCCAACCTGTGGTTTGGAGAATACATAGGTTACATCCTATTTCAATTAAAAAAAAAAAACCTGTCTTGGACCTCTTGCTCTGAGAAGTCAGCTGCCGTGTTGAGCGCCGCCCCACGGAGAGGTGCACAGGGCAGGGGACTGAGAGAGGCCGCTGGCCTGCAGAGAGAGGAGGTGGGGCCCTTCTCCTTCCGGGCCCCCAGCCAACAACCTAGCTGCAGCTTTGGGAGAAACCTTGAATGAGAGCACCCAGCTAAGCTGTGCCCGGATTTCTGGAAAGGGCAGACAGCATTTTCAGCTTTCCAAGTCCTGTACTGTCTACCTCCCGGTTGCAAGTACTGAACCCAACCACTGTGGAGGAAAGCCACCACGGGCAACATGGAGAGGAGTGAAGAGTGAATGGATTTAGCTCTCGGGGGCTTAGACTGCCAACCCCTGGTTTGAGCCATCAGTCTTGGGGTGGTTTGTTTTGTGGTGTTATTGTGGTAATAGATGACTGATGGATTCCACGTTTATAAACCAAGTAAGTAATTTCATTAATGTATTAAAAAAAAAGAGGGAAAATACCCTTAATTATATGTGAGTTGGAAATATCTTATCCATTTCCTGTCTCAGCTCTGGAATTACTCTTTCTTCTAGAAGCTCTGTTTCCGCCTTCTGATACATGGTATTTAGACCACAATCTGGACAAGACACAGGGAGCTCATTATTACTGGTTGGTCACTATTTCCAGGCCTTTGCAGTACATGGAGCTAGGACACTTTTTAATTAAGAGAAGAATGTATCACGAGTCTCCACAGATTATCCTAAAATTGGCTGCACTCCAAACAGTGAGGAAGTGGCCGCAGACAACTGGGGTTATGTCAGGAGGACGTCAGAGCCAACCTGCCTGGAAGGAGCTCCCACGAATGGGACAAGTTGAGTATAAAAAGATAAATGACTACAATTGATCAAAACACACCAAATACCTTAAAATCCATGAAGATAGAACAAAAACTAATCCTATGCAGATGTTGCTAGGGCAAAGCTCATTATTCTGAAAATGATAAGCAAACAAGCACTTAGCCTGCCTTTTCTGGACAAACTCTATTTGAGAGTAACCAAATAGCTAAGGAGGGAATAATTCTAGCTAATCAAGGCAGAAGGAATGATAGAATCTCACCATTTTGCAACTCCTAATGAAGCATTATCACCACAGGGTAATCAACCCATTAGGTAAAAGGCAGACAGAGAAGCACATAATGGATTAAATGGACTTACCACGTTTGAAGCAATGGTAAACCCTCCTATCACACAGACACAAAGAGAAGCAGACCTTATGTGACTCCTGATGGAATGCCAGGTACGCAGAGTGCCCACGCACACACTCACACTCAAGCCTGAATCCAAGTGAGGCTCTCAACATAACACACTTAGAGAATCCAAGATGGTAAAAAATGACTCCACAGGATGCAATTATGGAAATCCAGAGTGAGAAAAATCCCACAGTATAACTTACTTCTTCAGCTAATAAATAGTAATAAAAGGAGAGTGGTGTTTCGATTAAAAGAGATTTGGAGGGGCTCCTGGGTGGCTCAGTCATTAAGCGTCTGCCTTCTGCTCAGGTCATGATCCCAGGGTCCTGGGATCGAGCCCCACTTCGGGCTCCCTGCTCCGTGGGAAGCCTGCTTCTCCCACTCCCTCTGCCCCTGCTTGTGTTCCCTCTCTATATCTCTGTCAAATAAATAAAATCTTTAAAAAAAGAGAGAGAGATTTAAGAGACATATCAATAAAGTCAACGTGCGGACCTTGTTTGAATTCTGATTAAAACCATATATAAGACAATACGGGTCAGAGAAATTTGAACACTGTTGGATTTTGTATAAAATAAGAGATACTGTTAATTTTCAGGATCCGATAATGGTGTTGTGGTTATGTTTTAGAAAGGCAGAATTTAATGTTTAAACACATACTGAAGTATTTACAAATAAAATGATGTAATATCTAGAATTTAAAGTAGCCCAGGGAAAGTGGGCATATGCCCATGTGCCGATAACTACTGATGCTGGGTGAGAAGTACACAGGAGTTTGTTACCTGTTCTACTTCTGTATGTATCTTTAAACTTCCATTATGAAAAGTTTAAAGCTATCCAATACACAGACACTACTGAACCCAGCTGAGTGAAGGAATCTGAACAGGCCAGTGAGTATTTTGTTTTATAATTTTATCTAAGTATCTGTCTTATTTAGACTAAGTAGTATTCAATTGTTTATTCTAAATGGATTGCAGAGAAAGAGAGGCAAATTACAAGGATCCCAATGGAAACGTCCTCACAGTGGCGGGCATTTCATAATTGTAACAAGCAAGGACACGTAAGCCCAGGGCTTTCAAGTTCCGTTTGAAATGGTTCAACTGGAGGCTGAGGGAGTCACCGCTGTTTTCCCACCCTGATCTGCTACAAAGAAAGTCATGTGATGGAAGCTCAAAATAAATGACCAGATAGAATTTTCAAAGAGTTACAATCTGTTCTCCCAGACTAAACAGTAACTGTCAGACATCACCTTCAGAATGGAAACAGAAATTATTAAATATAACAGGAAATGGGGTCAGAGGGGTCAGAATGCCAAAACAAAACTCAATAAAGTGACAATGAAAAGCACACCACACCTATTTTTAACAGGTCTGAGTGGCAACAGGCAGAGCCTCAGAAGATTCTTCAAGAGTGAAAGAATGCATCACAGAAACATGGAAATGTTGCCAAATGTTTTGAGCACTTTTTTACATTTGGGTGATTTAGGTATGAACACACACACACACACACACACACACACACACACACGAGACAAAGGCGGCTAGAGAAATTCCTCATTTAAAGCTTCTCAGAGTTCAAACTTCCAGCCGGGCCTAAATGGGATTAAGTCTCTTTTGCAGGAAACACATCCTGAGTGAGTATTAGTAACTAATCCTATAAACTCCAAGAGGTGTTCCTGCTTTGTGTCTACTCTGCACTGGGTTCAGTATTCCTAAAAAGGCTGAATTTCCAAAGGAAGATTATTTCAAGCTATCGGCATTTCTGTCTCACCAAATCAATCTCTCTCTCTGCTCAGAATCATCTGGTGCTCTGACTTCCACCCATGCTTTATTCACACAGGTTTCCAGCTCTTTGGGAAAACTAGGGAGTGTAAATCACAAATGGAAGATTTTAAGACTTTCTCTGACCAACTAGCCCAGCGCGGATGCAATGTCACACAAAGGGAGAGCTGCAGGTGTGGGGAGGCCCCCCCGCCACCCCGCACCGCCCCGGGCCCTGCACACCTGGTGCCTGGGAACATCTGGGGTTCTCTGACGGACAGTCTGCACCCTGCCATCTTCAGGTGAACCCTCTTGCATTTGTGTCCCCAGTTCAGGGAGGCACCAGCACCCCAAACGGCTGGCTCCTTACCTTCAGGAATGCTTCCTTTTGCTCCAAGTGCTTGCTGATCATTGGGGTGACGTGGTCCGTCTCTGAGTTGGGGCCCAGCTTGTCGGCTCCTCCACACCAGTCCTCTTCTCTCTTGTACTCCTGCTCCAAGCTCTCGAGGACACTGCAGACCTGTGAGCAGAAGAGTCGCAGGCTAAGAGGGGCCGGTCGGCGACTGACAGCACAGAGCGACATCTCCAGCAAGTGTGGTAGGTCAGGCTCTGGGGATAAAGGTGTTGGCCTGGGGACCAAGACCATCGGAAGGAACCATGGGCTCCGTCTTACGTGAGGACAAATGCAGGGGTCAAAATAGGCAGGCCTTTCAGAACAAGAACCAAATAAAAACGGAATTTCTGGTCTCTCTCTGGTGCGTTTCAGGCTATCCATTTAAATGAGAGGAGAACGGAGGTCCTCTCAGCTCCTTTCCAACCCATTACTCTTTGAGTCCTAAGGTAAGCAACAACCCTTCTACTTCTAGAATGCTTTTCTCTGCCTGGGTTGAAGTGACTGGCTCAGTAATTACTGAGGATTAATGACGGAGTTGTCCAATAACACTGAGCTCAACATAAAAGGCTGGTCAGGAGCCCAAGGCATCGAACCTGCCTCCTCACCTGCTCTGAGGTTTTGTAGAAGGCGACAGACGCATTCACGAGCTTGAGGCGGTCTTCCATCTTGAGCATGAGCTGCTGCCAGTGAGAGGCCACCTTCTCGGCACAGTCCCGGATCATGTCCATGTCGTAGTGATTGGCCTGCAGCATGGCTTCTGCCTTCTGCTGCACCTGCAGGGCGCTCTGATGTGTCTTCTAAGGAGACAGAAAGGGGAAGGGGAGACTTATCTGACTGGGCGGTCACATGTTTACTGGGAAGGCACTGGGAAGGCTGCCGCAGTGCTGCTCCACCTGCTTTTATAGAAACAACTTCCCCTAATACTCATCAGGACACTCCTACAAACACAGCAGACCGTGCAGTAAGATAAAAAAAGTTTTCATGCCTAGCAACAACCGTGCTTATGCTTAAATTACCTAATGAAGGATGAAATGCATTAAGACATTCCAGAATGGGTCCCACTTGTGGGGTTCTCAGCTTGAGAAATAGCAGGGAAAATTAATAGCCAATATTCTAAAAAAGCTGTTGAAATGTTCCAAGTTTATTCTTCCTATTGGTCCTCCTTGTAATAGCAGCTAGACGCACATGGACACATGGAGAAAAAAGGTGGCCACCGTGAATGCCTTTTTCATTTTTACCTTAAACTTTAGACTTGAGTAAAAAGTTTTCAAGAACTATTGACTTTAAAAAAGAGAGAGAGAGAGAAACATAACTCAAAGCTAGGAATGAGCCAAGTGTATTCTCTGGAGGCTCATGCCATATTAAAATATCAAACTAACACCAGAAATCCAGTAGAATTCCTGCTCGTGTATGTTCACTAGAATAGAAGATCCCATGAGGGGCTGACAGGTCAGGTTCTCCCAATGAAGACTCAGAACACCAGACAGCACAGCAGTTAGGTGGAGTACATGCGTTTCTGTGGACACAGATTTTTTTCTTTTTCTTCTTCTTTTTTAACCACAGCAAAATTTTGCATTTCACTGAAAAGGCACTAAATGACTCTATAAAAGACTATACGCAGTATAAGCAACCCTACCCTTCACCCAGATACACGGACACGTATTAGGAATTTAATTATTAGAACTCACTAGGCACAGTATACAATTTTCAAAAGATGCCCAGAGTCTGGGCTTCAAGAAGAAGAGTTAATATGTATCTGTTGGCGCTGAGTAGTTGAAAATATGTCAATCTCGAGAATAAATTAACAGTATTTTCTGTGGCTTTCTTCTCTATGTATGTAACTACAGCAGGAAACAAGTTTTCTGCAATCAAATGCTCTTTTTCCCAAGAGTGTACCTTGAGACCACCTACCATAATTAACTCCCCTCTCCCCGCCAAAAACTCGACGAATAATGAATTCGCATGCTGTGAGAGTGAATCTGAGTGGACTTGGCCCTGGCCTGGCCCCGACCTCGCGAAGGTGAGGAACGTTGCTGTTAACCAGGGTCGGAGGAGTTCCGTGGATAGTGTTGTCTACTGGTGATGTGCACCTGGTCTGGCTGCGCCGCCCTCGGTGCTCTGCTCTGTTCAGGAGTGTGTGTGCAAGACCCGCAGAACAGAAAGCCCCTCAGCCCAGACTCCAGCTCGGGTTCTCAGGTGCAGGTGCTCCCGACAGTGGGGGGTGCGTGCCGCCAGGGCCTCACGGCGGGAGGATGGCTCGGCGCTGCAAGGTCCCCAGGCTGGCACATGCCTCCTCCCCTCACTGCAGTTGCCAGCCCGTTTCCTTCCCCTGAAATACACTGGAGATGTATCAGCATCATCACTCTGGGTCCTGCTGAACCCCACCGGGCTCGGGGTCAGTCCCCCGTGAGGGGGCTCAGCAGACGTGTCCCGAGGTGGGGGGCAGGCTGGTGTCCCTACCTCGATGGCGTGCTGGAACTGCTCGTGCTCCCTCTGCAGCTGCTCTGCCTCTTGTAACGAGCTGGCCGTGATGAGCCCAGCGTTCAGCATCGACTCTCCGTTGCGGATCCAGCCCAGCACCTGAAACATGACACAGGGAGCTCCAAGCGCCGGCCCTCCGCAGGGGATTCCCCTGCGGGCCAGCGGGGACAATAGCCAAGTGGGCAAGGTGGTCAAGCTGCTCACATCAGCTGTGAAGCATGGGTTTCCTTATGATCCCATTGCCAACAGCGTGATGTCCTTCCACAGTATCTTAAGTGCTGCATTTTAAAATTAATTCAGTTATCTTATAGCTTCAAATGGGTGCTGAAAAGGTGGGGAATCCAGCGGATTGTTATTATTAGTCCACAGGTCAAAGCAGTCACCTACTAGATATCTACTGCCCCCAAATAATTCCCTGATAATGGGGCACCTGGGTGGCTCAGTCAGTTAAGCATCTGCCTTCAGCTCAGGTCATGATCTCAGGGTCCTGGGATCGAGCCCCACATCAGTCTTCCTGCTCAGCGGGGAGTCTGCTTCTCCCTCTCCCTCTGTCCCTCCATTCCTGCTTGTGCGTGTGCACGCACTCTCCCTCTCTCTCAAGTAAATAAAATCTTAAAAAAAAAAAAACCCAAATAATTCTCTGATAATCAAGAAATGTATTTTTCATTCCTTTTTCCTTAATAAACATGCAAAATTAGCAAACTGCCTGGTAAGGGAACTATTTTTTATTTCACCAACATATTTTCCAATTTAATGCCAGTGTTAAACGACCCACTAACCGAAGAGCGGATTCAGGGCTGTCCCCTGAGATTCTCAAACAAGAGCATTCCAACTGTGGAAGCTGCAGGACTGCGGGCACTTACTTGTGGCACAGACCGCTAGGTACCTACTCAACGCCTACTTCTCCTCATCTCCTTTACTCAGAAAACCTCGACTTCGTTTGTGTGTCGGTGGGGGGTGGATTAAAATAAAACCACGTCACAGCTCCGTTACAGTTCGGACACTCTCTCCAGCTACCAAGGTCAACGCAGTTGCCTCCGGGCAGTTGTGTGACCACATTTCTTCTCTGATGCAAGTACTGCTTCTTCCCTGTTATGCTTTTCCCTTCCTGCTGCCTGGCAAGTGGAGGGGGAGCTGGGGCTGCAACAGCCACCTGACAACCCGTCACCCACACAGCTACCTCACCTATCACGTGGCCACCGACTGAGCACCTGCAGCAATCTACCACGTCCTGACGTGTTCCGTAGAGAAAGTAATTTTTGAGCACCACTTTTAGACTCTTATAGGCAAATGCAATTCCTAATGGATAGTTTATGTTTTTGTTTCTTAGACACGTTGTTTTGTTTTTAGCAAGAAGGAACACTTTATTAACTGGTCTTTAAAAGGCTGGTCACAGTACTTCATCTCATTACACGGGAGACCAACAGGTGCTCTTAAAGCTTCCCAGTTTGACAGTGTATCTGCTTTAATGTGAGCATCACCCACTCAGGCACCACACCTCGCTCCCACTCCAGAGGCACCTTATCCCCTCTGCTCAACCAACACGCTTTTCTGTGCCTCCACCAGAATCCCAGAAAGCCATACTTTCCTTGTATCAGGGCGGTATCATGAGTGGTTTCTCTGCTCGTGAAAAAAAATGTCAGGTACATGCTGAATATATGTATGCATGGAATCCCACTGGCTGTGAGCCGAAAGCAATCCCTCCCAAATGTTCCATTTTTATTTTGCCATGCTGAGATAGGACAGTAGAGCAGGCTGGTCACAGAAGAAAACCCCAGCCCCCTCTAGCCTGTCACCCCATCCAGATTGATAACAGCCTATTTGGCAGAACAATCATAGAGTTATTTAGCCTGAGAAGCAATGTGTTCAGTTTCAAGCAAGAGACCACCAATAACAAAACAAGCTAAGTGAATGTTCCTTTCCAGTGATACACCTGCTGGGCAGGGAGGCCTCTTCCCCTACAGAATAAACACACAGCTGTCCAGGCACTGGTTCCATGTTTGCCCACGAGCTGTGGCCGTACCCGGGGCGTGCATGTCACATCATGCCTCACAACAGCTGTGTTCTATATCCCAGACGACCAGGAGGTCCCTCTTCGGGGGCTTGTCGGGCGGGGCGCCTCCGGTCTGGCTCCACGTCCAGCAGCTTGTTTACCTGTTTCACTTCAGCCTGCAGGTGGCGAAGCTGCACACATTGTTCCAGGTGCTTCCGATGCTGTTCCGCTGCTAAATCCAGCTCCTGCTGCTTTTCATGAAGGAACTCCAACAGGTCCTGGACCCGAGTTGCCATGTCGACATCTCTATCGCAAAGCAGCTCCACACCTGCGGGCAGTGAAGGGAGAGCCCAGAGCTCAACTGGCATGGTCGCCAGCTCTTCAGCCACGCACCACATACACTGCGCTTTTGTGAAGGACCTGCCTAGCCAGGCCAGGCCGTTACCTTGAAGGCCAAGTGCAAGGAAGGCACAGCGGGCAGAGGAGTGTTACATGTGCTTCCGAGCACGGGAGGGGGCCTGCAGGAATGTATCCGATGTGTTCCAAAGCAAAACATGATGTATAGCTAATCAAACCCATTTCCTGTCAATCTATTTCTGCAGGGATAACTGTGGACACGAGCCCTTGACTTTGTCAGTGAGCGAACTCTGGCTTCTTTTTGCTGTACATCCACTTGCACCCTGTTTACTCTTCAGGAAGCACTGAATTTGATTTGTATAAAACGAGTAACGTAGTAGCAGGTTGTCAAACACTACGGACTTCTCTCTACATTTTTGAGCCCATAGTGACCTCTGCTGGTGAAATATAAACTAAGAAAAAAAATTAAGAATGTGAAAAATTTTTTGAGATTCACATTTCATTCATGGATGTACAACTGGAGATCACGCTCCCTGAGATGACATGCAAGAATATTAAAGGTAAGTACGCTAATCGTATTGTTACTTGTGATCACGGTATGTGAAAATAAAACAGCAAAATGTTCCTTTTGAAGAGCAGGTACCTGAGAACATCTATGTCACGGGGCTAAGTAAACTTGGCAGCCAGCACACACAAATAAACAGGATGAATTCCCGTATGATATGAAACCCCCACAACTGACAGAATGAAATGCACTCCTTACCCGAAGCCTGCACTTCATTGACGTACTGCAAAAGGTCCTGCCCTTGGTGGATGACATCGAAGGTCAAGTTGTTCATGGTCAGAGCTTTGTCTGCATGGTGCTGGAGGCGTTGTTCTGCTATCGTGAGATCTTCCGTGTCAAAGTCGTTCATTTGCTGAGAAAGCTCATCGTTCCAAGACTCAAGGTCTGAGATGATCTAACACAGGAAAGTATCTTCTTAGGACAAGACTTAAAAATAAGTATCTGCTGTGATATCTCACTGTGCCAAGTAGGGAAGGAAGGAACTAATGTGACCATGTCTTAAGGACATGGAAGCCAGCCGTAGGGCTCCCACAGGCCAAAGATGGGACAGTTAGATACAAAAAATCTATCACAATTAAATAAAATTTACAAAATATATAAAAACATATTAATTCCTAATGAATTTTTTTTAAAAAAAAGAAGAGCTAAAAAGCCTAAAATTAAATGAAAAACTCCTCTAATTAGAAGTTGACAGGAAACCAACCTTTATCCTGAAACTGGTAAAAGAGATAATTATTTAAGCCTATAACAATGAAGGAAGATTCCCCTTTATAGATAAATCTAGTTATTAAATGTAGAATAAAATTAGAAAGGCTTTTTTTCTCATTCTGTTTTGAAATTCTAGTGAAATAACTCTTCAGCGAATGACCATCAATGTGCAGTAAACTATAATGGAAAGGATGGGGGTACTTAATGGGAGGGTCAGGCTGCCACCTCCTAATCCCACAGACCAACCTTAGCTCCCTAAAGAAGTGGGACCAGACAGGACTAGCTTTCTGACAGGAGAAGCCGTGGCCCCTGGGGAGCATCTGGCACAGAAACGGAACCTGAATCTTAATCAGGTCTTTACATTGAACTTTCAAGTTTATAGGAAATACCAGGGAAAGAAAAACAGAAGAAAAGCACTAAGCGAACGCAGAATGTGGGACCTGGTTTCTTCCCCTGATTCAGTCATTCCAACAAGTCATGGCAGGATAAAAAAGAAGGGTGGATGAAGAGATGATTCTGGATGGAAAGACTATCAACCAACCGTGAAAGCAGCGCCCACGTGCCTCCCTGCCCCCAGGGCAGCTGCAGGGGTCCGAGAAGAGGCTGGGTGTTAGTTAGAGATCAAGGTGTCCGGTTGGTGAGGGGTGGTAGACTGTGGTTATGTGGGAAAAGGCCTTATTTTGTCGAGATACTTAAGAAAGTCTTTAGGAGGGAAACAGTAAGCTGGCAAAGCTTTGCTCTAACATACTAAGCACAACAATAACAAAAGAAGGGATATTTGCAGCAAGGAAGACACAATCCTGCTACATGTGGGAGACAGGCATGTGGACGTTCACTGTACCATCCTTGCTACTTTGGAGCCAGTTTGAAAACTTTTGTAATCTACTTTTTAAAAATTCAGGCTAAAAATTATGAAATCCAAAAAGAAGGAAAAAACTTCTTGTGAAAGAACACTGTATTATCTATGCTTCAGTGGGATAACCTTTCCCATGAGTCCTGATTTCCTTTTATCCAGATGAGCAGTAACCACCTGAGTCTGAAAATCTGACAATGTGAGAGAGTTTACATAGAACCCAGCTAGGAGATGGGAAGTAATAAAAACTGAAGGCTTCCCCAAACTCCTACGTCAAAAATCTTCTGGATTTTGGGGCGCCTGGGTGGCTCAGTTGTTAAGCGTCTGCCTTCGGCTCAGGTCGTGATCCCAGGATCCTGGGATC